TGAACCTGGCCTATGGGCCAAGTGGTGTTAGCCACTATTGTAGGTTCATCTCCTCCCTCCCCCAAGGGCTACGGTTCTACCCGGCCCCATGATAAAAATGATCAAAAAAAAATAATATCCAACATCTCATGTATTGTAATATTATGTGTGATATTTTTCATATTACTATTATTATTTCATGCTACAATTAATTGTACATTGAGAGTTAATCCCCGTGTCTCTACAAATAACATTTTAAAATTGTATATGTTAATATCGTAAATAATTTTAAATTTATAAAATTACATCACCTTTTATTTAATTTTTTTTTTCAAGGTAGCCTTTTCATTAATATTGTCATCTATATAAATCTTTGTAAATTGATAGCTCGACAATGGAATTTCTAATATAAAAAATAGTTTATTCAAAAATAAAAAAACATGGTTGGTGTTATTTTAATAAAAATTTATAAATTTTATTATATACTTCTCTCTATTATCCTTAACGATTATAAAGGTGAAAATAACAACATTCACATTTGAGTTATTATAAAATCTGATTTACTCAAATTGATTCACTATCGAAGACCAAAGTGTTATGTTCAAGTGGTTTTTGCTTTAATAAATATAAAATAATATCAAATAACTATCTACAATTAATTAATCAAATATGATATTTTATTCAATTGAAGAAAAATGAAACTCAAATAGATTGCATACAATAACTTTAATATAATTTATCTTTGATTTTCTATATGTAACTTCATACAGAAAAAAGATCGTTACTATTTACTTGCCTTTTTTATGAAGTCCCAATTTCAACTAAAACTCAAATAACATATAAATTTTTAATAAAAGTATTTTCAATAAAAATGGGTAACATATTCATGTAATAAAATTATTTTAAGATTAAAAAAAAACTATAAAAGCATTTCTTCTTTTTCTCAAATAAGTTCTCAGAATTAGTGAGTTCAAATACAAATTTCAAGATTGCTATGACTTCTTCATTTAATTTCTTAACAATAGAATCAAGATTAAATTATATTCTATATTTGTTATAACACGATAGGTGTTATTATTGTTTTCCACATAAAAATTTTTCGTATAATAAACATTTCTTTCAATCAATTTATTCTTAAATCACAGAGTATTAGAACTTCAAATTATAGAATGAATAAACTTTTTCTACAAACAAATAACTATTGTTAATAAAAATCATTAAATACCTAAAAGATTAAATGTAATAACTCATAAAATTATCTTTTTACTAGTCAAAACTATTTTAGTAGTTAGATGATTTCTATCACATTTCAAACCAAAAATATTTTGCAATCTACATATTTGCATTTTAATCTTTCAATCTTCTTTATCGAGTGAAAGTTGATAAAAAAAAAAATGCATATTCCATATCCTTTGCAATTGATTTACCCCTATATTTTTTTTGAAATTTTAGCAAAAAAATAATGCAAAATAGAAGAAAAGATGTAACATAATTAGAGACAATTTTGGTAGTTAAAATCAAATATTTATTCATATTTTTTAAAAAAAAAAAAAAAACTCCCAGCAACTATATCTTACAACCAAATTTTGGATTTAAAAAAATCTTTAAAACAATACAACAATGAAAAAAGATAGGGAGTTAAAATAGTTGACATTTGACTCTTCATCTTCTTTTTGTTAGATAATTTTTTTTCCCATTTTTCTTCCTTTGGTTGCATCTGCATTTATCACATTTATTCATCAATCAGTTACTTTTATCAATTGCATATTTTCATTTATTTGCCTCTTCATCTACCACCTTATTATCATTTATAATAATAATAAAATTTGTAAATATATTTTACGTATCCTATTTAATGTATAGAGTAACATTACATATATATAGATTAGTGGCTCCGCCGCCGAAAGAGAAACAAAGAATGGAGATATTCATTGAGGCAATTTGGCAAAGCTTAAAAAGCTCTCCTAACGTTTATTTCTTCATTCATAAAATTCGAACTTGAGATTTTACTTAAGGGGAACTAAATTCCTTCCACTTATACTAATAGGTTATTGGTAAAAAAAAAAAAAAAACTCTTATTTGAGAAGTGTTATTTTCTTTCATAAGTTTAGATTTTACTAAAAAAAAATACTTAAAATTAGTTTTTAAATAATTTTAAACAAGTTTTGAAAAAGTTATTGTTATCTCAAAAAATCTCCTTGACACATGGTAGATGAAATGGCGTGCCACTTGTTTTGCTCAAAACAAGAAAGATTTCTCCAACGACTCTCTCTTCTTTCCAAGTATGGAACTTAGTTTGTGAGTTGATGGAAGAATGTCGTAAACTGCGCCTTAAAGATCAAACGATTGGCAAAAACGAGGGACGAATTTCTTGCACTAAATGGGTTATATGGCAAAATGCCTTGGGTATGATTTCAAGGACTCCTCCAAATTAATGTAATCAAGAAAAGTTAAGACTGTAAGAAAAATAAATGATCGCTGAACTACCGAGAATCTAAATGAACTTTAAATACATAAACTGGGTTGAAACAGAGGTTTAAAAGGAAATTTAATTGCAGAAAAAGTAAATTAAGTTAAAGTAAATAAAATTGGAAACATGGAAAATCTACTGGCAGCATGAAATATAAATTAACAGAAATAGAATTGAATATGAAATTAAATGTCGACATCATTTGATTGAATTAAAAGAAACTTGGAAAACAGATAAAAAGGAAAGGAAGTAATTCGATTATAAAGAAATATTACTAAAGGCAATGAAACTTACCATTGCAAATCCGACAAAAGAAGCGATGAATTGCTAAACTAATTTAGGCTAAAGCGTAAAGCTAAAACTAAACTAAAGGACTTGAAACTAAGATGAATTTGAGCATAAAGAGAAATTGTGCTGAGTTTACTATGTGAGATGTCGATCCCTTTCTTGATCTCATCATCGAGTATTTATGGCACCTTGGTAGCATGGTGGAAATTTGCGACAACATCCAAAAAACCAACAGCAACGTGAAATTTGAAACAAATCGATTTATCTGTTGGTGCTGCCAATAATCCTCCTAAAAGTTCGCAACAAGGGAACGGTTTTGTTGCCATTATAAAAATAACCACTCAACCTTACTAGAGAGATTTACACTAACAATTTTCAACCAATGAAATACTTGCAGCATGGATGACATGTGGCATCATCCTATTTGTTGTAAAATTAGGTGCAAACAGTTATATATTTAAATTTTTTTAAACTTATTTAGAATCTACTTTAAAAGATAATTTTAAAATTTTTTTCTACTAAAATTTCGAACTTACAAAAGAGTATAATAGTTTTAAAATAAATACTTTTTACACTCCGCCAAAATGGTGTCATTATCTGCTGAGAATGCAAGATTGACAGTTTAGCGTTCCAGCAAACCAAATCAACAATATGGCAGTTGCAGTGTCACACCTCAGAACTCGAATTCGAGGCGTAACAAATGCCGTGCACTCGTGAGATGGTCCCACAAATTCACAAGACTCGGAACTTATCCAATTCACATCTGGCAATCCAATAACTTAAATCGGATATTTCAAAATAATTCTATGTCCAACATTACTTAAACTCAAAGTCTCAAGGTCAAATCTCTTGTAAACTAACAATCCATTAAACGAATTTATAAAATCTCTAATTAAAATCTAGTTTACAAGATCATGATATATATCTAAAATCTATATCAAATTACAGGTGGCTAGCCTTCTAACTCGTCACTCCCCTCGTTTTTTCTTGTCTTTGACTTTGCTTCCTGAAATGATGGACAAGGAAAAACTATGAGATAACTCAACAAGTAAATATGGATAGCCCTTGGGTAAAATTTAAGCATGCCAGATAAACAGTTTAACATAACAAAACATTCAATGATAAACTGTTAATACGGAATCAAATTCAGTTCCATAGCAAAACGTTCAATGACAAACCGTTAATGCAGAAAAAAATTCAATAGTAATCTCATCTATAGGTCATGGCCAGCATTTATAAACCTCCCACTGGCGAGCACAGTAGTAACCAATGTTTTATCCCATTGGCAGGATTTTAGTAATAACCAATGTATTATCCCATTGGCAAGATTACAGAATGAATCGATACTATCAGTAAACATGTGCTAGCGTTTATAAACCTCCCACTAGCGAGCACAGTAAAACATGACCATATTAGAGACAAAACCATGCAGAATTTACAAAAGAAATCCGTAATTCACAATCGATCTCAAATTTCATAAATAACCAAAAAATTCCATATGGACATGGATTTAACATAAAATCATAATTTACAAAAATTCTCAAATCATCAAAGCAGTTCAGTAAATTCCAAGTGGGCATGCTCTACTCAATGAAAACGAAAATAATTCCATTTCAAATCAATCATGCTCGGTGCTAATAAAATCAATTTAAAATCAATTTAAACCTTGCCACCATCTCAAAAACAATTTAAAATATGCTTTAAGATTGAAAGGCGTTACCATAATTTACTTACCTCAAATCCGTAATACAGGAAACTCAAACCAAGTGCTCGGGTGACAGAACACTCAAGAACCTAATCAAAATACCCCAGAATTAATACCGCACTACCACAAATTCAAAGTAAAAACATCATTAGGATCACCCCCTAATCAGATGCTATTTCTATTAGTCTCCATATAATCGGACATCTCCAAATTTGTTCTTATATTACAAACTAAACATTTAATCCCCATTCATTGTTGGCCATTAGTGCGTGAACATTACCGTGAACAGTGATCACGCCGTGAACAGTGACGGCAACTTCCAAAAATTGGCAAAACCATAGCTAATCTCACGGGATTTTCTCTCCAAAAATCACAGCAGCCAACTCAAGCAATTTATATATGAATTAAGCTTAATTATGCTTTAATTACTACCGAAATTCATCCCCCTAATTCAACAAAATTCGGACAGCACATGGGGCAGCAATTAATTGATGAAATTTCGAGCTTGGAGGGGCTATCAACATACCAGAATTTTCCCAGCAAAACCGAAGCTGCAAATTGGGGAAGAGCCGGCGGCAATTCTGCAGGGGACTCACGGAATTAACCCAAAATTGAAGGAAATTAAAAGAGCTTAGAGTGAACTCAAGCCAAATCAAGTGAGAACAGAGGAATTTCAGGCTGCTTCTTACTAGAAACCCGAGCAATTCGCCCCCACAAAGTAGGAGCAGCCGACGGAAGGACAGAGCAGATCCAAAAATTCTGCAGAGGGGGGGAGAATTCTGGGTTCAATTTCAATCCTAGAACAAGAAAAGAAGGAGAAATATCCAAGCTTCTTAACGGTTTCTCAAAGAGAGGTGCGTCGGTGGCTGAGCTTCTTGTTGTTCGGTGCAGGGAGAAGAAAAAGAAGAGCAGACGCACGGGTGAGGAAGAAGAAAGAAGGAAAAAAAAAAAATATAGTGGATCCTTATCCAAACCCTTTTCTCTTTTAAATCGCTCAAGTTTCAAAATATTCACTATTAGACCCCAAAACAATATTTTTTCTCACAAAAACCCTTACTTAAATGCTAAAATATCACAAAATTTTGGGATATTACATGCAGTTTATG